CCCTGTCTGGAGTTGCTGAACTCTTAGCTCACCCAGACAGACGTCCAGGCTACCCGGTCGGCACCACGAGGAGGTGGTTCAGCTCGCCGTTATTAAGCCCCCATATTACCGCTATTCGAACCCACATCAGGTACCTAAACAACTTTTGTCCAGGCTTGTGTGCACTGGCAGTATCTCAGCCGTTCAGATTGCTACGGGTGGCGTGACAGCTATGCATCAAAAGAGTGTTACAGATGACGACTACTAATTTTTTGCTTCACATAAACCATGGCAACGTAAGGTTGGTGTCAACTAACACTTCTGTGCGTACCCAATCAAGGTATAGGGAGTATAGTTTGTTTTCAGCAATCTGTTGGTCCACCTCGAGTTACGCGCAAAACCTCAAAAGCCAAATCATCCAAATGGAGGTTTATCTACAAATGCGGTGCTATAAATACAATAAAAAAATAATGAACATTTACAAGCCTCAAATCGTTGGACTATGCCGGCTTCTATAAACCGGTTGAAGAACTGCCAATTCCTAACGGATCTCACAGTCCACACCGACTAAATCTACGTGTTTACAAGAGATAGCGAAACCACGTGTGAACATAAGGCAAGGTCAAAGAACGGTTTATGTCGGGTCAAAGTTGGACTATGCCGGCTTCTATAAACCGGTTGAAGAACTGCCAATTCCTAACGGATCTCACAGTCCACACCGACTAAATCTACGTGTTTACAAGAGATAGCGAAACCACGTGTGAACATAAGGCAAGGTCAAAGAACGGTTTATGTTCGGGTCAAAAACAAGAAGGGTGGTATGGGCGCAAACTAAAATAACATAAAATGGGGAATTGCGTTGTACAACATGGGCTAGGAAGATATGAATCAACAAGGAGTTTCCAAATATTTCACAGCGTGCGCACATTTACGCAGAGGTACATGTTGCTCAGCTAGTGGTCTTCATATTTGTGGTATAGTAACTCCAAAAACTGTGACCTTAATCATACTGAAAGAGATCAGTTCTTGCTATGTCATTTATTTTGTTGACGGCTGATCAAAAGCGGATCCGGTCCAAGTAAGAACAAAACGTTCCAGCACAACAATTCGAGGATGGTTTAAAGTTGAACAGCGGGCAGCATTTCGGGATTTCCACGTCCCCAACGTTTATGTTTGTACCGCTTCAAAAATGGCTCTAACTGTTCATATTTCCTGATAACCATGAAAACTTACAATTTATGGAACCACAATCTAGAATTGGCTGTTAAAAAAACGTCCAATCGAAACATTTGAATCACTGAAATGAATCAACTGTACACGTTTGTCAGATAGCCTTTTGTCTGGAAACTGCGTACTGTGATTGAATGTGAGAGAGACGCACAAATGGAATTTCTCTGGGCACTTGTCGTGCACAAAACTACATCACGTGTGAGAAAACGTCTTAAGTGCTTGAAGATTTCTTCGGAGCAACGCGACTGGACGGAAGTTAAGACTTTGTGGTTGAATTTTCGTAATAACCCGTCTAAACAGCAAGCAACTAACATTTTGCAAAGGAAATTAAATAGTGTTAAGTGTATCTGAAAAATTATGAAAAGTACCGAAGGCAACTAACAACAGTGTGTCTGGTCAAGGGAATAAAGTTTTTTCCCAGTGATTTGATCCATTAGTAGTCTGCCGAAAGTTTTCCCGTTTAGTGTCCAGCCAGCCACTTATGCCGGTGAAATACCTTCTAATGGGCTCATAAAATATTCCATTGATAACCTCGAACCGCACTCATGACGGTTTACTGAGCGTTGTTCCAAGAATAATACGAATTAAGTGATGTAGAGTATTACTTCGTATGACAGCAGTAGCAGCAAGAATTCGAGCGAAAAATCAGGCTAGGACAATTTTACATGTTGACCAATATGACTGAACTAATTCCAGACTGTGAGCAAACATCAAGGACCAACCGTTAGCCTCTCGCTTGTTCGACACCATGACTGTTTGAAAAATGCTTTTGGATACGCATCGCAATTTTCTACAAGTACCTCCTTTTAAACGTTCTAAATAATAATGATGATTGAGAAGCAGATCACACTCACATCAGAGTTCCTAGAAGTTACGCGGTTTTTCAGTAGTGGACATTTCGTGTCAGAATGCAACACCAATACATCCCTCCATCGCTCTGCCAAGTCTAGAGTATACGCCAAGTCGAGTTAATCTGCGATTCTACTGGTAGGATATTGGTTTTTTCAGAAATTTACTTTTTTTCGTGCAACGAGTCTGGTGATGTTTAGCCCAACGGCAAATTGCCATACGTTTTTCTGTGCATTTTCTGATAAATCGACATAATCGGCAATAAATTGAGGTTTAACAACACTGATCTCTTATCAGTGAATCCTACACAGAAGTAACGTCGCAGCCATTTCGTGTTGACAAGTACTTTTAGTTTTCCATAGGAGTAAAAATACCTATAAGCTATTCTTCGACAATCAAATGAAAATATGTCCAAACCACCAGTAACACACTATTGAAAATACTTTGCCAATGAGAGGTTGCGTATATTTAGAATTAATCCACAAATATTATGAAAGTTAAGTTGTCCTCGTCTTGATACAAGAGGTTTTGTCTTTTAGATGCTTCTTACTGAAGTCCAATCAACCTGCTCACCTAATCGTTTGGCCTGACAAAGGTTCTGTGTCGAAAGCAAAAAGTTGCCCAGCAACAACTCCACCGATTGTTTACCAAACCTCTCTGAAACAATGATTACTAAATTGGCCCCAAACATTTTTCAATTTACCGAAGCCTCTTAGCTCGGTGAGGATCAGTCTGTCGGTTAAAAGAAGCTCTTTACCGCTTCGTTCATTGGTGTTGCATGCAACGTTCTACGATTCAAAAATACGTGAAATTGATGTCAGCTCTAGTTTCGTGATGTATTGCTAAACCCTTTAGCAACCTGGAGCAAGAGAACACGGACACAGCACGGTTGCTATGACTTTGATAGTTGAGGGCAATTGGGACAGGAAACACGGTGGTAAGTCACTTTTTGACAGTCGAGACCGGAAGTACATCGGATTCCACACACCAACGCTTTTTCGGATAACCTAACTAAAAACCTCACATTCAGACAATGTCTTAGGAAATTTGGGTAACAAAAAACGCGTGCTTTATCATCGTTAGTTTTTGCAGAAATCTCCATAGGCACAAAAAATTTATTTTCAGTTCAGTATGCTTGTAACTAAGTGTTGCCACTGTAAATATCTGAAGACGTGCATGAAGAAAGTTACGTTATATTTAGAAGAAAGGCAATGATGCCTGTGTTCAAAGTATTAAAGCAATTTGGGAATATAGGAGAATGGGAGTATACGCAATTGTGTTTATTGTGAACGCGTAAGACATTCTCAGTCTCAGCCACGTATACATGCAGGTGAGTTTGCTGACCGAATTTCTTTCGATTTTTATTGATGAGCTTCAGGGCATATGTGATCTTGCTAAGTCCGTTTAACTAAAAAAACGTTGTTCCAAAATCGACAGTAAAGCTAGTGGTTTAGTACACTGACTCCAAAAATTACCGTAATTTGTCTTCCATCATATGTCAGTGTACAAAGCTTGCAGTCGCTTGCAGCTAACTTAGTCCTTTGCAAATGAAATCAGGTACTTCCGGTAGTTGCTAGAAAAATATTTGATTTACATGCTTCAGCAACGTGTGATGTTTTAACCGCAATTGTCTGCCAACATTTTAGAGTTCATTTGTTGGCGATGTCTACATACAAAATAACCGCGGTGAAACAGCCCTTCGAAGACATACAAAGCGAGTGTTACGCGTTTCGCCGGTCATCCGTCAGATTCAAACGGAAATATCAACAACGTTTCCAGTCTAAAAAAGATTAGACTCTTCGGAACAAAGCTGCAGGATCGTTTTTTTATTTTCACGAGAAATTAAAATGCAACCCGGTTTTCAAAAATGTCTAGAATTGTTGCGGAAAGCTTCTATTTTTTAACAACAGTATTTAGGTGTTGTGGTTGGGCAACACGTCATTCAGTTTTTTTCTATATCAGAGCATCCCAATTTCCATCCAGCTAATATCCTATTCGCCGGTTTGAAGAGTACACATAAAATATCCCGATAAGTTGGATAACCTGGGGCGTACTAACTGAAGTCGTCACCAGCGAGAAACAGAAAGCATCAATCTGATAGGTCCTTAAGAGCTTTACAATTGCCTACGGATGTCAACTACCCTCTCGTCCTGTCAGTCCCCTCGGCAAAAGGTACTTTGTCAAAAGAAGTACGCTCCCACACATCTATTATCACGCGTCTGTATGTGGGTATGTCTAGGTGTGCTTGTTCGCTCTCTACAATCTGTGAGTGTGTCTCTCGCCCGTTGCGGGAATGTGGTGGAACTTCGTTGCTGTTATATTTGGAAGACAAATACTGGTTGAAACTAAAATATGCTCTGTGGACTATGCACGTAAGTCAGGAGTAGCCGGAGAAGGTGATACGTTAAAAAAAGCTGGAATATGAAAATTTTCAACACAATCTTTCGGTAAGTTAACTAGAACTTACCGATAATTCTGTGTGATCGAGAGTAAAACCCCTGTATGATTCAGAATGTGTGTGTAAATAAAAAATTGTGGCAAACAAACTTCATAGTATCCAGCTGTTTTGTCAGTTTGGCTGATAATCTATCATTTGTTGATAAAAAGCAATGTTGAAACAGAGTTTGAAATCAAATCTTAGCCTCAGGTGAACTGACCTTCTAATAGGCGATGTTGCTATAGAATTTTTTATTACAGTCGGCAAAAAACATGGTGCCGGAAGAACATTGTGAACTTAGTTATGTATTGTCTTTCCTCCATTTGGCTTGGTTATGTTTCGATACAGATTTCAGTTTTCGCAAATTTCACAAGATTTGGGACAATCAACACGCATCACTTGATGGTACGCGCAACCACACTTACTATAGGTTATCGTCAACACAACTAAATTGCCTTATCGGGATGAGAGGGAACTGGTGATAAAATCACTGTATTTAAGCTAGTTTGGCAAAATTTAAAGAGTGATTTTTGCTTGAGCTAGACTAAAACGTCCTTGTTGCCTACTTGGTTAATCCTCCGGAGGCGTTTCTGCATTGTGCACAGAGTTTGCCCTTCGAACAGGTTTGCATTATGAAACATTTAAAATTTTCGTTCTTGTTTGCTATCCCGCACACGATGAGAAATTTACATAAAACACTCAAAACGCATATATGTTTCTTGACCACGTGGAACATTGGCAACGTTTCGTCCAAGTGTATACTTGCAACAATTCCTTCTGTGCATCAAAATTTTGCTCCAGTGGATTTCCTCCGTAACCTTGTTGTACGTCTACCCAATTAGATGGCATTGAAACTGAAATTGCTCGTTTATGATGCGTTATAGCAAAGAGGGCTAGACTTATGACTTCAGTTGACCGTGTCCCCTTCCAGGTTATCTTGTATGATAAGCAAACCTATGTCAACTTTCATTTTCGGTAAATTGCTGGCTGATTTTAAAAAATGCAGCCTTTTTTCCTGGGCCACATCGTAGTCATTTGAAACAACGACAGTCATTGTGTAAACCACAGAATGCGCTACAGTCACGTAAGCAAAAAACAAATTTTACAAACAGCCAAATAATCCGTGCAAAAGATACGAACGGAACTGAACATCTCATATTTTCAGCGAGGTAGTAAAATTGAGATTTGTTTTATACATAGATCGTACATGAATATTGGGCGTTCGTTTTTCTTCTTTTTTACTGAGCTCACTAGGTACATGTAACCTCTAAGGTTCTATAAACCAATTGTCCCACGTGAACGTCCAAGTAGGCTATTCGAAAAAATTATCAGACTGAGCCATGTATGTTTACGCGGGCCGTAGATATTCTCGAACAAAATCTGTGGTAAACCTGTTTCTCTAGTCACGTAGGCAACACAACGCTCATATTGGGGTTCTCGTGGTAGGCAAACGAGAAATTTTTACTGAACACTCATTTTAGATCTACATGCATTTCTAGGTCTAACACTAAAACCTGACTTACCTGTTTGAAAATATCCAAAAATACCACAGGTTCGGTGTGGAACCGTGTTCAGGAGCTTTCCAGGTGACTACAGATGGTCCCGTTTTACGCGTGTTATCATTTTTGCATTTTTGCAGTGCTTTATTGTTATCAATAATTCGTCCGTATTATGTATTCTATCAGTACTGATGCTGTGATAAACCAAGGCAAACTCGGAATGAAGCTCTTTTGGGAAAAATATGCCTTTCTCCTCCACAATGTTCATGTGTATGGTACATTTACTTTGGAAAAAAGTCCTGTTAATAAAGATCTTAATGTGTCAGTCAAGCAATGGTCTGTGGAATTGTTTAACTAAATATTTGCAAAACACTCCTTGGTTTTTCTCTCCACTAAGGTGAAAAAACACACTTGAAGTCTTGTTCTTGAAATTATGTCCCCTATTAAGGTCAAAACATTATTTAACATATTGATTTTGTCTATCTGAACGATTTGTAGTTTTGGGCGTGGACAGTCATATTAGTGGCAGTGAACGCACTATTCCTTCCAAATGGCTTCAAAAAAACTACGAAATCAGGATTTTCATGGTAAATTGGCCACTTTAGTCCAATTACTGCTCTAAGTTTCAGTGTAATATGCGCCTCAGTTGTAGCAGTCGATGCTGAGAAAAAGTCAACCGTTTATCGATCGGTCTGTCGAGTGTAGTTTACGCTGTCGAAGCATTTTGGCACTGCGTAACCGTTCTGCTTTATGTAAAGTGCATCATAAATGGCAGTGGCATAAGAGTCAAAAGAGAGAAATATCCATAGTGAATTTGAGCTACGCATCGTCCTGTACAATTAACAAATGAATAAGTGATTTTTTAGCCTCATATCCCAGGCTCTCCAAGTTTTTAACCACATTCCGTAAGAGACGTTTAATTCAGACATTTAAACTGTCAATCAACAGGCTGTGCAATATGATGGATTGGTCACATGTGACCGTCGATCGTTTAAATCCCTTGTGGTCTGTTGATCAAACAACACATCATTGCATTCCCACTGAGTTGTGATGAGAGATGATGAAAAATGATACGGAGGAAACTAGAGCAGGTTATTTAGCCTAACCAGAATAATCTCATCAAGAACATGGGCGGATATGTCTAGCATTGCAGTTGGCCTATTTATCGGTGATAAACAAATTCATGAACTTCAGCAAAGCGAAGCACTTGGTGCAGTTGTTTATTGGTCATTTTTTTTGTCTTCTGATTCTGAAGCTGGCTTGGAAGCTGAAGTTTGTTCAAACAATAACCGCATTCATTTTCAAGTGTTTTGATGGGCTAATGATTTCTGTTTCTGTTGATCGTGACTCTCATTTTTGTCCATTCGTCTACCAAAAACTGACGCATCTTTGATGAAAGAGAATTAAACCAACTTCAGAAATGATTATCATCGACATTGATAATCATAAAGCGGCATGCAGCTCTTCAGTTAACCTTCAACCTTGGAAGTAAAAAGTTACAAGTTTTTCCATAATACATTCTTACACCAAGATTGGACGGGCGAATAGGAAGAAGTAATCTTATCATTCCTTTGAAATTATGTCTCCCAAGATGCCATCAGTTATTTAGCCAACAGTGATGTTTTTGAAAGCATACTATCCTAGGCACTGATTCAAAAAATTGCTGAAAGGAGAGCAATATACCAGAGAATCTTAACTTCGCTGACGATGTGAACATCATTGGTGATGAAGTAATCCAACTATCAAGTTCAACACCAAAGCAGCGCACACGAGTTGCCTACATTCCGCAACGTTGCCAGTCAAGATCTTGTCAGGAATTCCACTTGAGTAAATAAGTAAGCTGGACTACTTTACTCTAGGATCTTCGGAAGACCGGATTGATTTGCTCTGAGTCCAAGAAAATAATAAACCACTGTTTTGGGGAAAGATAGAGAAGCGCCCCCGTATAAAAAAGAATAACAACGAATGGTTAACTGCGTAAAAATGCACAGCGGAGGAATACGCCTGCCGGAACCGCACGCGTTATAGTAACTTCGACTAAACCTGGAAACCAAAGACTTGCGCAAAGTTGCATACTTATGAAAAAGTGGCCCCTGTCTCCATTGCTATCTGATAGGCAAAGAATATCCGCTTGATTGCTTAGATAGATTTAAAAAACAAAGGATTAAAGCACCGGCTTGTCGCTCTTTAAGGCGCACAATATTTGCAACTGCAAATTACAAAGCTCCTGGGGCTTGGGTGTCCCGAACTGATTTTGACATATACATGAGTTTGAAGCGTCCAATGATTATTCGGCCGGTTTAGAGGAGCTGGTGCACCACACGAATACCATAGGACCTTCCTCTGAATGTCTGGTGAACACATTCACTGAAACAGAGTATCACTATGGTTAGTGTGAAATAGCTGTTCAGTTTGCCATCGCACTTCCTCTTTTGGGATTTTTGCAGATGTCCATACAAACGAAACCCATAAATTCACTTGATTGTTGTGGTGGCTAACCAAAGCAGCGTACCTTTTCTGAAAACCGAGGAAAATTGCATAGGTCTAAACTCATATTCTTATTCTTGTAACAGATAAATTGGAACTTTTAGAGTAGGAGAAACGCTAAAGTAAATGATATTTGTTTTTTTATCACTCGATTAATAAAAGTTTCTGTCTGTCTGCAAAAAAGAAAACTTTAATTTATCAGGCTCTGAACCAGTCGGATTGCGGAATCTTTATTGTACCGGAAAAATATGGTCTCGTATTTAGAAAAACATATAAATGTGAGCTTATTCATCGTGCTCATCGGACGTCCTTATCTTGCTTCTGAACAACTGCAAATGTAGAGTTCCGATGTGTTTTCAGTTTATACACGTGGCAGCGCGGCATGAATCTCATCCTGAATGTAATTTACCAAGTGGTTTTCACAACATCTTTGTTTGCTGGATGTTCTGAATCAGAAAATTGAAAAATCTATTAATTTTTGACGTATGACCGTCGTTAGACCAATGAGACTGACATTTGTATATTCGGATGTTTATTTAAGGGCGCGTCTGCAACAAGCTTCCACCTGCAACGGTCTGGGTGTTTTGTACATTGCGCGGATTTTGGCAGTGAACTAGTTTTACTATGGCTGTAAATATGAATAGCCGAGTAAATTGCAGATCAAGGTATGCTAAAAGACTAATCACTGCGGCCGATGGTCCAAATTGAAAGCACATTTCACAAAATTGCGCACACTCGATCACCTTTTTTGGGTAGTCATTGGTTTAACTCACACCAACGTGAAGTTCTGATCTGTTGGTCGAGAGCGAAACAATTTTCCACTGCTTGGGTGCATAGAACGGTCCGGAAACATAAGAGTACCGGAAAGCTGTTTTTCATGGCAGTAAACGTTTGTACACAGTTTGTCGTGTTTACAATAATTTATTAGCAATAGTCTTCCTATAAGGAGTTGTGCTTCCAGAAATCGTTATCGAACAATACTGTGCCTGGGCTTATTGGCTGGACCTCAATTTTTAGCTAGTTG